CATCATACAACATGTATCACATGCAATTTATCAAAATCACTTATTCCTACACTGACAACCTTTACATAAAATAGCCCATATGAAAAACAAGAAGATTTTCTACAAATTTTATGAAGAACTTAGGTTTTAATTCCCTCATCTACCATGTTAAAACTTGTAAGTACCGCAACCGTTTTCCTAAATGTTGACTACTTGACCTTTGCTCATTAAAAAGGTCATAACTGAAGTTCTAGAACTCCTTTTTGGGTGACTCCAGTGCCCTTGGAAAACTAACATCCAAGGCTACAATTTTCATAAAGATCCCAAGACCAAATTCAGTCATATAATCCTAACGCTATAGCGCTCAATTTAGTGCTCCAGCTTTGAATTTTTTCCAGTTTCATTTTCTCCCGGGGATGCAGTGCCCAACTTGGAGCTACAGTGCTAGATCTCTACCAGATCAGTTCCCTCAAGGGCTGCAGTGCCCAACCTGGAGCTACAGCACTGGATCTCGACAACCTTGTTTTCTCTCACAGTTTTAGCGCTCTATCTAGCGCTTCAGCGTTGAGTGCAGAGTTTTATGCACTTTCATGACTTTCCACCTTCGTTTTTCACCTACACTCAAAATCTCTACTCAATTTGCTCATACAACCCAGAAAACATAAGAAATTCAACATGCATGCATCAAAGCTCAAAGAAAATCATTAACATTCAACCTTCCATCAAGAACCCAAAACCTTAGTTTTCAACATGCAAATCACTTCGAATTCATCCTCCCAATTACAAATTTTCAAAATCCTACAAATTTTAAGTCTCAATTCATTCAAACAACCTAACATGCAAATCAAAAACTCAAGGTTTCCAGCTTTCGTTACCTTAATCTTGAGCTCCCTGAGAAGAATAGAGAAGAAGAGAACGGAGAAGAAGAAGAAAACTGAGAAGATGACCCGTGCACACCACTACTTGAAGCTCCCCAGCACTCTAGTGCTTGGAATTCCTCACCCGCTAGTGATCAGCCTTTGGAAATGGTAAGGAAGGAAGAATTTAAGGGAAAATAAAATAGAAAGGAGAAAAGAGAAGAAGGAAGTCAGTTATATCTTACAATGTTAAACCAAAAAAAAAAAAAGACCAAACTGCAAATATTATTATTTATAAATTATAAAATAAAAAAGTAAAATGCATAAACACCTTGAGAACCAAGAACAAACTAATTAATAAAATATTAAATCAAAACTAATAAAAAAAATTATATATACTGATATATCTAACAATGATATTAAAAATAAAATTTAAAATATTTACCTTTTCGAATAGCTACAAAAATGGGACTCCTGAAACAAATAATAAAAATGTTAAATTTAAATATGTTGGTATCTCAAATAAGACGTGTAGAAGATGAGACATCCATCTACATAATTAAAATAAATTAGTTAATTTTAAAATTATTACAAAAAAATTGAAAATAAATAATATAATATAAAAAATCAAAACACATAAAATATGAGGCCTAATAGTGAGACTAAACTACAAAAATTATTATTTATAAATTATATATGGTGTTAAACAAAAAAAAAAAGACTAAACTGCACAAATTATTATTTATAAATTATAAAATAAAAATAAAAGTTAAAATGCATACCCAACATTAAATTAATTAGTAAAATATTAAATCAAAACTAATCAAAAATTATATATATTGATATATCCAACAACAATATTAAAAATAAAATTTAAAAATATTTATCTTTCTAAATGGATGGGACAATGGAAAAAAATACTAACAATAGACATATAAAGAAACGAAAACTTGAACATAGTAGGAAGTGGGAACCTATGCTAGGGCTATATAGTGTAGTAAAAAACATTTACTGCGCATAAACATGTGTCACCATTTGGTTGGATGGGAAAGAGGCGATATACATTTGTTGGAATAACACCATGTATACTCCCACACTAATAATATATTTAAAATCACCTCATTCATATAACAAGTTTTAATAAAGATCTAGTTTCACTATATAAAAACAAATAAAAAAAATAAAAAAAAACCAACAACGTTGTCATTATCTATTGTGGAGTGTGTGCGAATTGTAAATGTTTGGGGGAGTTTCAAAATATGCAGTTTTATATCAAATTAAAGAAATGTGAAGTTATAGTAATAAATAAAAGATAATATAACTTATAAAAATTTATATAAAAAATAATATGCCTTTAGTTATACTTATCAAGTTATCGATGCACACACCTTGTCAAATGTCAATGTCATTTGTGTGTTGTTCGAGATTCAATAAGAAACTCTGCTCCCATACCAGGAAAGGTCAAATGATGCAGTTTTGGTTCGTTCCGGTTTATGCAAGAGTGCTGTGAAATATAAATTATTATTATAATGTTTTATGCTACTTTTTCTTTTCAATATACATACTATTTTTATTATTATTTAAATGTAGTATAATTTATTAAGATTAATTTGATCAAACAAATAAATAAATATTTACAGAAAAAGACTAAATAAATAAATTAAGTATTTCAGAAAACTTAAAATAACACTGCTCCGATATCATGTTACATTCAATAATCAATGAGATTAATATATAAATTTTATACTATTAATTAAAAATTTATTTTAATATATTTTTAAAATAATTAATAAATTTATCATCGTAATTGATTGATATGTAAAAAAAACAAGAATATTGTCTATATTATTTATTCATATTTAGATGTGTTTTTTTTAGGGGTATTTAGATGTGTTTTAAAAACTAATGTATTATTTTTTTCTCTGAACACTTGAAGAAAATAAGAACGTGGACGGGTGCACAGATCTGTCCGTGACTAGAATCAAGGCCAGCAACGGCATCAAAATATATAATAAAATATTGTTTTACGAATAAAGTGAATTTCTCATACATAAAAAATTATAAAAAAGCTAGGTTGGAAACTTTGGGACTCAGTAATTAAATTGTGTGAATTTCAATTTCAATTGAATTAAGAAATGCTACAATACATACGTGAATTTTGTGTCTATCTTCATTTCTATTCATTTATATCATTTATTGTATTTCATATTCTTCCTCTCTTTTCTGTCTCTTACATTTTAAATATATCTCTCTTTTTTTTTTAATTAAAAAATTTGTTGTACAAATATCATTTTTATCTTTATTTTTTTTTTCTTTTCTATTTGTTAAATAAGTTTTACATCTTGCTAATTAATGATCTTAGAGACTTGGTTATAAAATTAATATGTAGATAATTTTTTTTAGTAAAAATTACATTAAAATTATATAAAAGAGTTTGTTATTACGTTTCTTTTTTATACACAAGATTTAAATTTAAAATTTTATATGAATTGAAGTAAATATTATTTGAATTAACAATTTGTTAGTAATCAAATCTTAATTATATTATTTTTTTAAAATTTCGTTAGTTATTTTATCTCAAAATTAGAGGATGGTGTATCTTATCAATTTTAGGTTAGGTAATTGTATCTTAAATTTTCAATTAAAAACCAACTTATCAACATATGTTATGATTCTTGGGGATGACTCATGAATAAAATTTCTTAATTTAAATAACTACTGGTTAATCCAAATACCTCCACTCTAATTAAACCAGCAAAGTAACATGACTCACTATTAAGTGCAATACTAATTGATAAGGTTTCATTGGTAAATATTACAAGATCTCGTTCATTTGAACTCATTGTTGTGGACCCAAATCTATTAGTATGGAATATTTTCTTTTCCAAGTGAAATCTCCTAGTATATGAAAGAGTGAAAATTTGTTTTTGTTGTTGTGGAATAAGAAACTTCGTATCTTAATGCATGTATTTAATTTATTCAAAACTATTAGAGTTGGATCTATATTTTGAGAAATATGAGTTGAAGCAATAACGAGAATATTTCTAGTGGAACATCTTTCACAATCTCTTGAGAGACCAAGAGATAAGTAATTCTACTCGTTCACATTCAGCAACATTATATTACTTTTGCTAATTCAAATTAAAAGGTGATATAAGTAGGTTTATTTCAAACATCATATCCATGATTAACGTATTCATCATAATTAGAAGTTCCAACTCCATATCAATATCATGGTCAACATCATCACTATTGTTACAAGTTATCTCTAGTCCCATGAAAATTTCTTTAATCCGGACAATAAAATCATAAATTTTTATAATAATTATTTAAAAAATATTGATGTTATAAAAAAATTTTACGCTCATAATATATTAAAATTAAACCCTATATCAATGAAAAGTAATTTTATAATGTCAACATTATAAATTAGTATGATTTTAAGCTAATTATTGAAATTAGTATGATTTTAAGGTAATGATTTATAACAGTGTAAAACTATTTTATATTATTGTTAAATAGTCAATTTATTTACTCTTATAAATTAAAGTTAATATTAGTTATCAAATGACAAAGTTTTTTTTTTTTTTTTAAGTATTAAACAAGTGCATATTTAAAATTTGAATTTGAGTGCAATATATTTTTTTCTTATATATAAATTTCTAGTGATACGGTTACGATTTAGGTTGAATCTTTCATTTCCTAGTAATTTTTTCTGATGTTTGAATTTGAGTGCAATATATTTTTTTCTTATATATAAATTTCTAGTGATACGGTTACGATTTAGGTTGAATCTTTCATTTCCTAGTAATTTTTTCTGATGATAAAAAAAAAACCTAGACCTGATTATAAACGTTCTTCATACAGATAATTTTGCTAAAAATTTAATTACGATTTATTTTGAAATAAGGAGGTAAAAAAATTGAAACACTTTTTTTATCGGTTTATCCATCAAGCACTATCTCTTCTGAAAGGGATAGAAAAGAAAAACAACCAACCCGGGGTCCCACAAAACTACTATTAAAAAAGATGTTTGAAAACAAGAACTACATGAAATTTTGATTTTAACTTCTAAACCTGCACATCCATATACATAAATATAAGTAGAAAATTCTATAGTCTGTAGGCACAGGAGACAATTAACATTTTAAGAGAGAAATGTGATTCACCATAAACTGATCAATTTATTAAGTCAATGATGTGCCTTGTTTACAAGACAATAACAAATCAACGGATAATAAAAAATATGACAAATAAGTGGGAACTAATGTCATGCCACCAAGTATGCAGCTATTCCTATCCATAAGCAGCATATAGCATACTTGTTCCCTCTACTGAAAATGAAGTTAAACAAATGGAGAGCAAGTTCATCTCCAACCTAAAACTATGTTATTCATAATTCATTTTATTATTATTAGCTTAAATTGGTCCACTTCATGCCCTTGGACTCAGAGACAAGGTGATATCCTGAAAAACCTTGAGCCTCTTATCAGTTGTTTTCCTCTGGGAAGTCTTTGTGGTGTCATTAGCTTTATCTGATTCACTTGGAGGTCCCAAAATTGCAGCAAGAATAGCCTCTTCAAAGTCATCATCATCAGGTAACAAGTCTGTTAACTTGTTCTTCTCAGCATCATCTGATGAGAGCCTCCTTGTTTTGTTCTCAGGCACAGGCACTTCTAGCTCCACATGCAACTTGTTTGTAGTGTCTTTCATATCACTCACTACTCTCATGGACCCTGCAGCATTTCCAGACCTTGTTCTCTTGAGGGTCTCAGAGAACTGGTTCTCAACTGGTAACATAGATTTTGATGCATAGAATGGTGGAGCTGCAACATTGAGTGAGTTCCCCAAAATGGGGGCATTGGCAACAACATGTTTGTTGATACCACCACCTTTAGGAGGTGGCAATGCTGTGTGATTTGATGTCATGATGTTGGAATTGGTGTTCTCATCTGCGTACTCATCAAGGGTGATTTTGGCTGAATTTGTTGTTGTGTGGTGGTCCTTACAAGGCTGGGGTTGCCAGATTGATGAAGAACCCAAAAAGGCCTCAAAGAGTCTGCTTTGTTCAAGCCTATCTACTCCCTTGTTCATCATCTCAGACTCAAGGTCTTTCAGCATTTGCTGTGCCCTTTCATAGGCTTTTAGATGAGAGTCTGAGCCTCTAGGGCCATCCACTACTGCAGGCTTCACACGGTACAGTGTCTCTTTTGCCTCACCAATTCTACCTTGTTTCATCAAGCATATGCCAAGATTGCACATTTTGTTGTTGTCTGGACCAATTGAAAGGGCGCGGCGATAGGCCTCTTCTGCTTCAATGTAGTTGTTCTGCTGCATCAGTGCCCATCCCAAGTTTCCCTACTTTCACACAACTTCAGTTATCTTAGGCCACACAAAAAGAGTGAAAGTGTAAGATAAAAAGAAAGACATGATTTTTAAACACTCCATCATAGCCTTCCATTTCTATTAATCTCTCTTTTTTTTATTACATCATATCACCTATCATACCTATATTTCTCTTTATCTTGAATAACATGTAAATAAGAGAGAAAAATATAGATATGACAGATGATATGATGTGACAAAAAAAAATGAGGTGTTGTTGGAGTGTTTGAAAATATGGAATGTTTAAAAATCATTACTCAGATTATTGTATTGTTACCAGCAATCTAGTGGCTTCTTGCTCTACAGAGACTTGAAACTTCTTCCCTTGAGATCTGGCAGTCTTTGTGCGCTTGCCATTGAAAGCCAAACCTTGTTGAATCAAGTACAACTTGTGCTTCAATAGACCAATTTGGTCATCAAGTCTCCCACATCTCTGTTAAAACAAGTGATTCTTTTCAGTTATTGTACTATTGCTAGTGACGTTAGTATTAGTTTTTTTCAAAACAACAACTACAAAACCTTACCCCATTAAGTAAAGTCCACTACATTGATCAGGCATACAAGACTAAAGACATAAAACAAAATTTGAAAAGATAAAACAAAACCCACCTTATAAAGATCCAAGAGGATATTATCAAGGGATTCTTGGGCCTGATCTGAACATCTACTTCTTAGAGATTTAATGGCTTCAATAGCTTCTTCAGCCCGATTTTGCTGCTTCATGACAATGGCCATATCTTTCAAAGCACTATCCACCCTATCTCCCGCATTAATGGCTGCCCAAAACAGTGGAATCGCTCTCTCAGGGTCCTTCTCCACCAACTAAAACAAACACAAACACAAACAAAAGAACACCACTTTAATTAACACATGACAAAACCCAAAAGGGAAATTGCAACAAAGAAAGAAAAGAAATGAAAGAAAAAGAAGCATGCACATACCTGAACGTTTTTGGCTCTGACATAAGGAGTGTCACCAACAGGGACCTTGTGAGTGACGTGGAAGGATTCCGAGCGAGTTCTGGAAAGAGGCTTTGCCGGAGAAGAAGGTGCAGATTTGGAGGGTCTGAAACCTGGAGGAGCGTTCCACATTTCTTGCAACATTGTTATGTCAGAGAAGAAGAAACAAGAGAATTTTTTTTTTTTTTTTTTTTGCGAGAGAATAGAACAATGGACAGTGTTAGAAAGAAGAGGCTTTCGTGATAGTGTGCAACTGAGAAGAGGGAAAGAAGGAAATGCTTTCTGAAGAAGATGGAGTGTGCGTGTTTTTAAATTTTCCAAAACATAGCCGTTGAGAAAAGTAGCCGTTAGAATTGAAAATTTGGGTCGGGTATTAAGTGAGATTCAGGTGCTTAATTGTAATGGCCCATATCAATTTGGGTTGCAAATAAAAAAAAATGAAGCCCTGTTTAATGCACCCCTGTTTCTTTTTTTTCTTTTTTTTTTTTCTTTTTTTTTTTAATACTTTTATTACTATAAATATATTTTATACTATAAATATCATCTTTATATGAAAATTTGTATTTCTATTGTTCTTTCAGCTATTATTTTTTCTCTATCAAGATATTAAAATTTTATCTTAATTTTGCCACTTCTATATTCAATTCCATTAAACACCGCAATATTAAAATCAAAATTGTGAATAGTGTGCACAACATGATAAGTTGGGATCAGTTTATTTTTTCCGATTTGAGATACTACTTTCTAAAATGCAATATAATTACTACTCTAGAAACTACCTTTCAAAGAATATTTTTTATTAATATAACCACTCTTCAATCAGGTTTTTTTTTAGGTTTTTTTTTTTCCTTCAAGTATCAGCTTTAATTATTTTTAATTATTATATTAATTTTTTAGTTCTCAAATTTTAGTTATTTATATTTTTAATTATTAATGAAAATAGATAACATCAGGTAAGGCTTTAAATATATAAACTTCACATGTTTTATAAAATTAAAATTAAAATCTAATTAATTATTTATTATAGGTTTAATCTAAACGTTTTACAAATTTGATGTAACTTTTTTACAAATTAGGTCTAACTTACTTATCTATTTAAAAGCTTATTTTATATTAACAACTTTAAATAAAATTAATATTAAATAGGTAAACAAATATTTTTAAAATACATGCAATTTTTTTTTAACTTACATAATAAAAAATAGTATATTCTATTATTATCAAAATTTAAATTTAAAAAAATTAATATAGGAGTGACAATTCAGTTATATTATTATTTTTTATCTGTTTTAGTAATTATCCACTCACACACTTCTGTGCACTTGTGAATAAGCTGAAATTAAAAAGAATAATTTTTTTTATTATTTTTTAAATATTTCTTATGTTTCATTTGGATTATTTTAAATAATAACCAATCATGAAGATAAAGGGGGAGAGGGAATGAAGATGCAATTGCTAAAATTTTAATTTTGATTTCTTGATTTTATAAAAAAAATATTGATAAATTAATTGTTTGTATTATAAATT